CAAATTTCTGTGGGCCGAAGAGAGACCCAGTCTCTCAACTGCATGGTGTCACAGAAATTATCACCATGAGAAACCAGTTACAGGGCGGTGTATGTATATTAGATACTTGGTTGACCTCATCTACAAAATGTCATGCAGCGACATGAACGAGTTTTTCTGACTCACTCTACAAGTCTACATAGATTATCTCATCTCAGTCATGTAAAATATATATATATATATATATAATCCCTTTTGGAAAAAGACGGTGTTCTAGAACATTAGGCTGTCTCCCTTTTGGAAAATGTCTAGGCTAACCAATATAATATATACTGTCAAATTTAATACACGTATGAATTTTCACCATCATCCCCCCTTTTAAAAAATGTCAACAGGACGTTTACCTGATCTTCCACTCACCATTCAAACACTATCCGCTATTTATTTTTTCTTATCAGAAAAATTCTATTAGAGGAGTCCCTCAAATATCATTACAAATACTTTTTTAAAACGAGATAAAATATAAAAATATTTAAAAGGATACAAAATACTAGCCCAAAGTGGACGCAACGCAAGTTGGAGAAGCCGGTGGACCGGGCGGCGCAGAGGATCCGCGGCACAGCCGACGGTCGTACTGACCGCGCATGACGTACGTATAGGACGACTTTCGCCGCCACTCCCTACCAGCCCATCCTTCTTTTCTTCCCCTCCCCTCCCCTCCCCCCTGCACTGCAGCTGCTCCCCACTTCCCGTTTGGCCCCTCCGCGTCGCTGCTCCCCCTCCGTTTCCCACCCCGCCGGTCGCCGATCCGGCTCACCCCCGCCCCGTTGATTCGCCCCTGTACTTGCGGGTACCATCTTTCTAGCCGTGAGTACCTCTTTGCCTCCTTGCCTGCAAGATTGGCTCTCCTGTTTGCTGCTTCTATTTTAGTTCTTTCGTCCTTGCTTCGTATGGATTTTAAGGGCGTCTTTTCATGAAATCGAAGTTGCTGGATTGCTCGTGGATGTATAAAAGACATGATTTTTATAGCGCGCTTGATAATCTTGTTGAGTACTAATCCGTGTGTAGAGAAGCCCAGGATTTGCGGTGCATGGTGATGTTAGAAGGGGAGACGGATGCTCTTTTCATTAACTTGTGCTGTAATTGATTCTAATCTGGTTGGTACGGTTCGTGGCAATTGGGATATTTTTTTTTTTTATGAATGGGCCGCTATGAGCACCGCAAGTATTCCGGCTTTACCAAAATCTTCAGTACGGAGGTATGATCAGAGTTTGATCAGATATTCTTCCCCGGAGAACCCGCGGCGTGCTGTTGAGGATTTTATTAAAAAGTGAACTCCCTTTTCTTTTATTCTGGCGCGTCAGAGCTGTGTAGTTTGGTCATCTTTGTCTTGGCATTTGTGGTGTGTTTATTTAGTCTTTGATATGCTGATATTTTGGATAATCGATAGTCGGTCTTTTTTTTTTTTCTTGCGTGGAACATGGCAGTCAGTCAACGTTGCCAATCTTTTTGCGGAAGGGCCTTCAGTCAATATTGCTTAATTTATACGCGTGCTTATTGCTTAGTTGCTTACCATGCACTAGAAGGTGCATGTTAATCGCTAGAGTTTACCCCAAAACATAGCCAATCTTTTTGCGGGAGGGCATTCAGTCAATATTGCTTAATCTATAAGCATGCTTAGTTAGTGACCAGTGTTTTCCTCGTAACCTGTTTAAAGTTTAATCCAATGGCTGCAACATGATAGAGAGGATTATTCTACTTCCATCTTGATTGGACTACATAAGTTTGCTTGAGTTTCTGATGCATCATCTAACACATTCTAGTACTAAGCCTACGACGATTCAGGATGTTATTTCTTTTGAACGTAAAATTGGCAGGAGGTTAACCAGATGTAGAAGAAGGGTTAGGCCTAAGCCAAACAACAGAAAAGGGGAAAAAAACTTTACAATGGCCACCGTGCCGTGAGGGGGTTTAGGCCACTGGGATCAGATCGCCCACTCTCTTTGCTGCCTGCCCTTGCGCAGAATGATTCAGGGCTCAGTAGGTCAAATGTTTAATCATATAGTGATGCCTACTCAGTGTTGCGGTTTCCCTAAAGAATGTCCATTAACTTTTCTTTGTGGAATAATCAAAAGAAGAATGATGCATTCTGTTTACCCAGACAACTGAAAAAGTGCTGGCAAGTCAAAAGTAGCTTTATATGTTAGAACACTGCTAGTTGTGATTCCATGGTCGGTTGGTTAGTTGGTAAACTGTTTCCTTATATTTCAGGTAGTAGACGGTTTTGTCAAACAATTCAATCAGAGGAACCTGCATGTTAACCTGAAGTTATCTGAGATTCTGAAGCAATTAAGGCTCACAACAAGTTTAGCCTAAAAGGTTGAAAGGGAAAAGTTATGTCTTTTGCTAGGCGACTGGACCCGTCAGCTTACACGGACAATCTATACATTCATAAATTTGCCACACCAAGCTCAAGCTTTGCTGCTCGAAGATTTTCCTCTGATAAACAGTTGTTCCGTTATGACCCAGAACCATACAATGAGTATGGGCATATGGGTTTCACTGGAGCACCATCCGCTGCATTTCAAAACTCCTTTTGTAGTCAGCAGGCCTCACTAAAACCATACCATGTAACTGATGATGGACGATCTCCAAGTGTTGCAGATACTCAGTATAACTCATGCTCTGATGCAGCAAAAGATTCACCAGTGGTTTCCAATGTCTCACAGCAGAACTCCCAGTCTGTATCAGATGGTCAGAGTTCTGAAATCGAAGTAGAGTTCGATGAAGATGACATTAGGCTGAAGCTTCAGGAGCTGGAGCATGCTTTACTTGATGATGGTGATGATATCTTATTTGACATTTCCCAGGCAGGTAGCATTAATGATGAATGGGCTGACCCCATGAAGAATGTATTGCTTCCAAATTCACCAAAAGAATCAGAGTCAAGCATCAGTTGTGCTGTTAGCAACAGTGGAGCTCCAAGGACTCCAAAGCAATTGCTCTTTGACTGTGCTGCTGCATTGTCTGAATACAACACAGATGAAGCACAGGCGATCATAACAGAACTCCGACAGATGGTCTCCATTCAAGGGGACCCTTCTGAAAGGATTGCAGCATACCTGGTGGAGGGCCTTGCTGCAAGAATAGTAGCTTCAGGGAACGGCATCTACAAGGCTTTGACATGCAAGGATCCTCCAACTCTGTATCAACTTTCAGCAATGCAAATCCTCTTTGAAATATGCCCATGCTTCCGTTTGGGCTTCATGGCTGCTAATTATGCTATAGTTGAAGCCTGCAAAGGAGAAGAAAGACTGCACATTATCGACTTTGACATCAATCAGGGCAGCCAGTACATTACATTGATACAATTTCTGAAAAACAATGCAAACAAGCCGCGCCATTTGAGGATAACTGGTGTTGATGATCCTGAGACAGTTCAGAGGCCCATTGGAGGTCTGAGGGTCATTGGGCAACGCCTAGAGAAGCTTGCAGAGGACTGTGGGGTCTCTTTCGAATTCAGGGCTGTGGGTGCTAACATTGGGGATGTTACACCTGCGATGCTTGATTGTCGTCCTGGTGAAGCACTTGTTGTCAATTTTGCATTCCAGTTGCACCATCTTCCTGATGAGAGTGTTTCAATTATGAATGAAAGGGACCAGCTGCTTCGTATGGTGAAGGGACTCCATCCTAAGCTAGTGACCCTGGTTGAGCAGGATGCCAATACCAATACTGCACCGTTTCTGCCAAGGTTAGTGACTTTATAAAAAAAAAAGTCTCGAGTCCACTCTAGATGCTAATCTAATGTTGTACTGTGGATTTTATATGTGAACCCCATGTATGTTTTGATCTTATGACTCCTACAGTAGCATTAACATCTGACTTTCACAGGTTCCGTGAAGTCTATGATTACTACTCTGCGCTTTTTGATTCTTTAGATGCGACACTTCCCAGGGAGAGCCCAGATAGAATGAATGTGGAGAGGCAATGTCTTGCACGAGAAATTGTTAACATCTTGGCTTGCGAAGGTCCTGATCGTGTGGAGAGGTACCACCCAGCCATGTTTTTACCAGTCCTGCACCCTGCATTCTCACCCTTTTTCCTGAAATTTAAGAAACTGATAGTGAAGTTGTTACATGTTGTAGGTACGAAGTTGCTGGGAAATGGAGAGCAAGAATGACAATGGCTGGCTTCACACCATGCCCGTTTAACAGCAATGTCATCAGCGGAATAAAGTCGATACTGAAATCATATTGTGATAGGTACAAGTTCCACGAGGAGCATGGCGGGCTTCACTTCGGCTGGGGGGAGAAGACTCTCATTGTCTCCTCCGCATGGCAATAGAGAATTAGAGCTCACGTATGGAGTTGCATTAGTATTGTTGTATTTTAGGAGCTTCCGGTGCAGACTGTAAAAAGATGTGACCGCTGGGTTGTTAACTGAACCTTACTTAATCGAAGATCTATGCATGTCAGAATAATTGAGTTTGGCTGATTACCCGGTGCTAGTAGCATCTTGTTGCGTGATGAATCTGTATTTTAGGATAGAAGAGTCATGACATGGTGACTCTACTTTGTGTATAAAAATTATGCATTACTCAACTAGAAGATATTTTGTACTCACCTGCAGCAAACAATTCTGAATCAGAAGCAAGATCCACGCCAGATTATCATGATATTCAGTACATCAATGCAAAAAGTGAACTTTGCTGAGAACATATTTGACATCAAGACTTAAGATTATCCAATAGAGTCATCATGTAATTACATCAATTTTCTGTACAACAATTTGAAAAGCGTACAAAGCTCCTGTACAAGCTTATGAAAGCTGGATCAACACTATACAGGTATCCTCTTCGGAATCAATACAGGTATACTTGTATACCCAATAGAATCGAAGTATTATCACAATAAGCAATATACAGGTGTCCTCTTCAGAAATAATCCATTTATATACTCAGAGAATCTGAATATTTTGGCTCTCACAATATGACATATATGGGTATAAGCTCAATCATGTCATTAGGGTAAGCTGTGTCGTGAATTCAATGAATTATAATTAGTATTTGGTTGCATTTTGACCCGTTTAGAGGACTCCAAAAGTCTGACAAGCGATGGAAGAGGTCTAGGAACAGGGATATTCCTTGACCTGTAAAGCCTCTTCAAACTTGTATTCAAACATTTCGATGATCCAATAATGCACAAAGGTTCCTTTTGACAATCAGTTCTTTCTGCACTTCTGACCATGGTAAGGTTTAAGTCTTCCGTGGAACTCGATGATTTTGACTCCTCTGCAACTTCTGACTTTTCAAGTTGATCAGACACCACTAACATATTGTGTTGAACAGCAGGTAATGACTTCACTTGACACGCTTCTAATTGCGTTGAGGTTGTTTCATGCTTACAGGAAGTCACATCATCTCCAACTGCCATGGGATCCTGCTGGGAGGCTGGTGGTTGTTTCGTATCGAAATCCGTTGAAGAATATGTTTCAACATCTTCACTACTACCATGAACCGAATCTGTTGGTGCACATGCCCTGGCTTCTTCTAAGGCAATGTACTCTTCTTTCATAATGTCAATTGCTTGAGAGGCAAACCTTGCTCTTCCAAACAATGTAATGTCTGGTTCTTCAGGTGGAGGGGGTGGCACAAATTTCGGTTCAAGGGTGCTTATTACATTTAAATATGTACATCCATCGCTGGTGGAAGATGAATGATCATCATCAACAACAAAACTTGAGTTATCTTCGTTTGTCTGTGTTTCAGACACAAGCACTGAACAAGGGGAGGACACTGACTTTTCAAGAGGATCTCTGAATATTTTCCACAGTGGATCATCAGGTGTTAAGCGGGTCTTGAAACAATGTTTCTTTACATAGCTCAGCTCAATGGCAAAGCACGGCGGAGTTGTTGAAATAACCCACTGAGGTTGGAGAAGTTGTAGTGCCTGCTCCAACTCATCACGAGAGGAGTGAATGGAGAAACAAGCATGCCAGATGCCAAACTCATCCTGCTCAGCTTCTGTTAGGCTGGGTTTCTTCTGGTTTCGAGCACAGCTTGCATACCACTGTGTTGATGGACGAATAAATAAGGGTTCAGGTTGGAGATTTGCCCTTGCCTCTGCAAGCTCTTTGCTTGCTCTATCATATAACTGGTGGAACCCAACCATCTGCGGGGTTAAGAAGGTCACAACCGACAAGGAAGAAAACAAGGGGCCACTCCATGTGATAGGCACCAGAAGAAATGATAGAAGGTGCAGGACTCAGCATCAGGTACCAGCCAATTGTGTGTAATTTTTTTTACGAAACAAGAACCTTGATGTTATGATACTAACCTAATGTACATTAGGATTAACATTAACTTATTTTGCCTTAAAATGGAAACGAATCAGCTAGCTTCCATGTGCATTATAAAGTCATAGTGACTGACTACTGTGAGGTAAATATTTCCCTTATGGGCAGGCTTGAAGTAATACAAAAATTGCAGTATTAGTGATGATTTCAGGGGCTGTCAGTGATAGTGCTTTAAAACAATCCAATTTCCAGTCAACATAAATTTTCAATCCGAAAGTCCGTGACACCTCAACTAGTATATCTTCGTGCCCAAGAAGATCACAAGCAAGGAAAACAAATGGTGCAAGTGGATGCTTCCATATGCAAGCTATAACCTGCAATCACTGAATCATTTCTCAATTGTAACTATCCCTGTTGTCAGAAGAACACTTCTACAAGGTACATGAAGAACATATCTAATCACAGCACAGAGAACAACCTGCCGGATTGCTGACTCCTTGCTCGGTAGCTTGAGGAAGCATTTGGAGAAGGTGCAATCTAGGAATACAAAGTCAAGTCGGCAAATGTTTTCGTTTCCTTTCTTCGTTATGTACTTCATTGGCAAATCCTGTATGCAGTCTGGTGTAAGCCGACAGTCCCCTGTGTGAAGTATGGTACCAAATTGACCCTCAAACAAGAACATGACTGCCCCAGAAATCACCAAATAGGCCAAGCATAAGACATCCCTTACTCCTAGGAGCACATAACGAGCATACTGTGCTCAAATCAAACAGAACAATGGACAAATGTTCTCTACACTCCACACAAAGAGATAGCATCACATTACATTTACATTTTTGCTAGGTTTCACATCAAACAAATCGCAGAGCATTCTTGACAAGCTCCTATACCAAGTAAATTATACTCCCTTATAATTACCATAATGACATCGACAGAAATGGAATAGTTAGAACGAACACATTACCAGGGCAGTGATTTGCGCCGTACGTGGTGACAGAGAAGGCGCCGGTGGGATCATCCAGCACCACCGTCCTCCCCACCTCCATCTCCACGAACTCCCAACTTCCCAACTGCATCACAATTCACACCGCGGCGCAAGAGCCTTTAGCAAAGACACCCCAATAGAAACATTTTGGCGGACAGAACATACAGAGGGAGGGAAAGGGGCTAATTACCTGGGGAAAGTGGCGAAGCGCGAGGTGCAGGGTGAGGCGGGTGGCGTAGACGGTGCCGTCCCCGTCGATGTCGACACCGGAGCCGACGAGGTGGTCCCGGTGCGTGTGGGTGAGGAAGCGGTGGCGCCGGCGCCGGGAGGAGGGACCCCACGTGTCGACGGCGAAGGGGAGCCCCCGCGGCATGTCTATCGGCATTCTCCCCCAGTTTCCTTAGCGAAATTACGGATAGGTCCCTCCCCTCGTCCGGATCGCGGCCGCTGGTCGGTGGGGTCACAAGGGTGGAGTTCTCCTTGACGGAAACAGGGTGGAGTTCGTTGCGTCGGTTTATATGCGCGCGAAATGGGTGAAGCCGGCTCCTTCCTTCGAAGGAAGAGTACGGGTTAACGGGCGTTCGGAGTTTGGGTGAGTGACCAGACCTGCGTGCTTAACCTCTTCAAGTTGGTTTTTCGAGCTGATAAGTTCGGTTGATGCTGATTTGTTGTGAAAAAAAAATATTATATCATAACCGATAAGTCTTAGCTGAAATCAACGAGCGAACATGGCCATTAACTTGCCGCCTTTTGCAGTTTGGGTGGGTCCCATGTCATCGTTTCCTCGATGAAGTTCGGGCCGCTTTCTCTGTGGTATGTTAGATTCCGTCGCTCTTCGGGCCTCAACACAAAGGGCCTCTAGTGTGTCATATTTTTGAGCCCAACTAGAATTTATGATTGACCCAATGAGATTCCGATCAAGCTCTATTCAGGCTCGGTACAGCTCCGCTTTGTCGGTGTAGTTTTTTTTGTTTGGCTTCATGAGTAGTTTTGCTGAACGGCATGTAGCGTCCGGATAGACGCCCGCGGCGGCTCTGCTTCCAGCGCATGCGAGTGGACGGCGTGAACGTGTGGTCACCACGCGGGCATCGCGCAGGCGTCGGGTAGCGTTCCCCACCGAGCCGTGACGAGACGGAGGGAAGGGAAGGGAAGAGAAAGGAGAGGAAAGGAAGGGAAGGGAAGGGAAGGGAGAAGAGAGGGCGAGGCACGCCGTGCAAGGAAAGCGCGAGGTAGGAGCCGTAGCCCTACGGCAGGCTGCTGTCCACTAGTCATCGGTGTCATTGCAATATGTGCAACACCTCAATTTATTTTTGAAACATTCAGATGAAATATTTGTAACATACGTCTGAAGATAAATGAAACACTTGAAACATACGTCTAAAACATCTGAAAAAACACTTGAAAAGCCATTACAAAACATATGCAATATTCAGTAGCAACACCCAAAGGCCCTGTTCGCTTCTCTTATAATCCGACTTTTTCAGCTTGTTTTTTCAGCCGGAACAATGTTTTTCTCTCACAACAAATCAGCCGGAAGAATGTTTCGGCTTATTTTTTCAGCGAAGCGAACGGGGCCAAAATAAACAAACTTGCAACATGCTTCTGAAAAACAAATGAAACATTTGGATCACGCGCTTGCAACATGCGTGTATAACCATTGCAACATATGCAACATCCCGATCTACTTTTGCAACATCGATGTGAAACACTTTAAACATACAGTTGCAACATGAGCTTTCAACATATTGTCACTTGGCTGCTTGGACGAATGGAGGCCTCGTCATTGCAGAGCTTGACGCCGGCGTGGAGCTCAGCGGCGGCACATGGAGCTCGCCGGTGCCCCAGCGGAGGCACTGCGCCACCCTGGGCGAGCACTTGGCGAGGCCTCGAGCACCCTGGGCAAGCATGGCGGCTTGGGTGAGCACCTGCACGAGGCCGTGAACACCCTGGCGAGCTCGGCGGCTTGCTTGACGAGCACCGCTGGGTAAGAGATTTTTTTTAAAGAGGCGCGGATGAGAGCGAGCGGACGGCGCCGTAGCGAATGGGAAGCCGCGTCCGTCCATCCGGACCTCCTCGATAGAGCATTATCGTTTGCCGAATGATCTGATCATATTAATCTGTTTTTAAAAAAATATTGAGTAAAACAACTTCTCACAGTAAGCAGCTCTGGGAGAGGGAGCTAAGAGAAGAGTATTTTAGCTCATCCAATGCAATGTCCATTCTTTATGAAACTGGATTTTAAATAGTTTCACTTAAAAACTGTTGTTTTACATGTTTAGCAAAAACCAGCTCCTAAAGCTATTAGAGAAGCTCTACCAAACAGGACAATGGTCTTAAAAGAACCTTGAGAGAGTGTGAGGCAATCATCTTTTCCACACAGGTGGAGGTCTGATAACCTCTTCACTAAAGTGCGTGCTCCAAGCACACACTCCAGAATTACTGTGATAACTCAGGGTTCAGGGTTTCACCGTGCACGTAAAAGATACATATTGCTTACGCACAGTATCAATTTCTCAGATAGTTTAATACATTTCTAGAGAAATTGGGGTAGATAAGCAGTTGGAGAGAGCCAGAGAAGGAGAGAGATGGAGCAAAAGAAATTCACACTTTGCAGAGACACACAACTTGAGAGCTCTGTGACACAGCTCTGTTCCAGAAGCTACATTGTTAGGGGAGCCTCCGGGAGAGAGATCGAGATCAGAGTGACAAACGTAAAAACCCCATAGAAATCAACACCAATCCGATTCACCGACAAACTAATAATTCAGTAGGCAGCCTCATTTTTAGGCTGTTCATCATCCAAACCAGCAAAGCCTCGACCGCTTCATCCGCACACGCGCGCATGCAGCCGCCTACACCTGGCTGGCGACGACCTTGCTGTCGCCGACGACGGTGTCGGCGGCGGCCTTGTTGGTCGTGGCGTCGGCCAGCTCCACGGCAGCGGCCACCTTCTTCGCGTCCTCGACGTCCGCGGCAGCAGCGGCCTCTCCCTTGCCGGCCGGCGCGGCGGGGCCCTTGTTTTTCCGGTAGATGAAGTACAGGATGAGCTGCACCAGGCCCAGGAAGCTCCCGCACCCGTTCGGGATCTGCACGCACGCACAGACAGCGCGGTTGCAGCGGCGGTGGCTGCGTTAGTAACGGGCATATTTGGACTGCATGAAACTGTCATGACTTCATGATGAAAAATTGGAAAACTTGGCCTAAGATATTTCATCGTAGTTTGTCGCGTTGGTGTACTGAAGTGGAGTGCAGTTTGTTTACTAGCATTGCGACAAGAAAGAGCGCGGCGCTGTTCCTCTGCCTGGTCCAATAGTCCTGAGTGCACAGGGGCACGGCGGCCCATCGGCAGCGCCGGCGTGCGCTGTGCCTGCGCTGCCTCTGCCTGTGGGTGGCCACCGCCACGCCCACGCTACTGGCGCCCATGCCCGTGCATCGGCAGCGGCAGCGGCAGGCATGTGCGCCTGGTTGGGCGGGACACCGAAAGGGCAACCGACGCCGGCCCGGGGGTACTGTACTGTACTGGCCAGAGGCGTTCAATGCTCAATGGCAACAGCTAGCGGTGCAGTATAGTACTGCAGTCGTTTCCAAGTACCCATCGGACGACAGGCGCGCGGCACGTGCGTACGGCCGGCCGGTGTTCAGGTGCAGTTCAGGATCAGAGAGGGAGAAGCCTGCGTACAATGATGAAGGGGTCGCGGCCGAGGAGGCCGTAGATGAACCAGGAGGTGCCGCACAGGAACACGGCCAGGGAGAGCAGGAACGGCATGAACTCCACGCTCTTCGTCTTGATCACCAACCTCTGCACACACGCACAAGCACATGCTTGTTAATTAACTGATGTCGTGGATAGCAAGAGCCAAGGACGCCCGGTCGCAAGCTAGCATCGATCGTTGCTTACCATGATGGAGAGCGGCGATGCGTACATGCAGATGGAGAAGATGGTGGCGGCGAGGCCGCAGAAGACCTTGCGGGCGTTGCCATGGAGGGCCAGCAGCGAGACGAGCACCACGGTGGTGAAGATGGAGGCGACGATGCTGAGGAGGCCCAGCATGCGGAGCCTGGCCCGCCGGTCCACCGCGAAGATGAGGAAGATCACCACGTAGATGGCCTCGATCACCGACCCCGTCCCGTTGATCGTCGACACCAGGATGTTGTTCGGGGACACGAACGGCAGGCCGTACCTGTATGCATATAAATTTCACACAAACGAATCAACACAAAATTCAGACGAATGCATGATGATTGATGAGCTAGCACATCGATCTTCACATGCATGCAAGGGTGCGTGAAAACCAAACGGGACGCCTTGAATTTTCTTGCCCAACCAAATCCTCCATCATCATAACCAAAATCATCCATCAGCATCATAACCAAAAAGAAAAGGCATGAAAACTATCTGTTTGGACCTACAATACAAACACTTGAATGTGAAGCTCCATGTGCGAGCACAAGGGCCGCGAGGCCCACATGTCATCTCCATCCTGGCAATGCCGACAGGCTGCTCCCACGGGCTGTGGTGCAGTGCAATAAAACCTTTTCCCTTTCATTGCAGTCGTTGTCACAGTGCTGGCGAGTGGGTTGGCCAGAGGCTATGCTAAGAGCCAAGTGTTTGCTTCATCCAGGCCAGCAAACCATGCAGCATTTCTGAAATGTAAAACTATACTACACGCCGGTTTTACTGGTTTAGAGCCACTGCATAATATATATCATGTCACAAGAATACAAAAGTATACAGTGTCTACTGTATACTGATTAATCTGGCCACTCTACCATTCTTTGCAGTGTCATAATATATATCATATCACAAGAACCCGCTGAAGAATATCAAGCCTCTAATTAATCTGCGAGTTAATTTACTGAAGAAACAGAAATGATGTGAAGTGCTCATCGAAAGGTCGTGTCTCTCTGAGAGCAGTTAGTTACCAAGCTGATAGGAGGCAGTTGAGCAGCGTCATGTTGTAGGGCACGCCGGAGAAGTCCTCCGTCGACCGCTTCCTGATGATCCTCCAGAAGGTGACACTGCAAAGAATTCGCCAGATTTTCTCACCGGTCAGAGGAAACAAACATGCGCCGTGCTGTGCTGCCCCTGACGGCGGAGGCAGAGGAGGCAAGAAAAAGGTGCGGCATGGTTGTGAAGAAGAAGAAGAAGAAGAAGCATTCCGGATGGAGAAAAGATGCTTAGATGCTTGTTTTAAAAAAAAAATGAAATTCAGAGTTTCACTAGAAAGCTAGGATTGAACCTAAAAGATGCTAAAACCTTTCTCTCCCCACTCATCCATTCTCCCCTTGTTCTAGTCTTTGTCATGTAGGAGTAGTAAGTAATATATTGCTTCTCTGCTTTCATTTTTTTACGCATGGACGCGGACAGTGAGG